GTCTTGGCGCTAATGCTCTATGTGCCCTTTCAATTCCCAGTTCCATGTCCTTCAGTAAATCAAGATCCCCCCCCTCAGCAAATTTTCAAGGAAGGTGACCATGGAGCAACCCTCCAATTCTCTGAGATTCTGTAAATCCAAATGTTTTCTCGCGATCTTCCTTCCTGGTCTGTTAATTTCTTTTCAAAAGTAATTTGTCATTGCAAGAGTTTCTTTATCACAGTTTCTGTTGTTAAGACCCTTGTTTCCACTCCTTGATCCCTCCCTCTGCCTTATCTAGTCTCTTATTAATCTTGCTCAGATCCTGTTTAATATCCGTAAACTGCTATTTATTGACCCGTCTGAAGTCTCTAAGTTCGTATAATATTTTCTGAAGACTGGTGTCTGCGCCATCTTGTTCAGAACTCGCTGAGCTGCTCCGACTGCAGTCAGAGGTCGCAGTTTCGACATTTTCCAAAGTCAGTAGTTTTCTCCTACTTCTCTTGACGGTCCCTTCAGCCATAGTTATTATTTTTTCAAACGTAGTGTAGAAAAAAAAAACTTTTTCAGGGCTTTATTACAAAATTGTCAGGCGGTGATCCATATTATGCTGCCATTCCCGTCCGCATCCTAACCGGAAGTCCAACATGAGGCTTTCTAATATGATTTAGTAATTTGTTCACCAATTGTTCAGCAGTGGTGGTAAAAATGAAGTGTTCTTCACCGGTGCTGTTTATAAGGGATACATATTTTCACTGAAAGATTACAAGATTACTTGTAATCTAAAGGTACAAGTAATTGGTTTATTCCATGCTGAAAAGAGAAGAAAAAACACAATGTTTCGACTGTGGAGCCTTCTTTGGATGTGAGAAAGACAGGGCAGACAACTAAGATTAAATAGCATAGGAGAACAAAATCTGGGAGAGCAGAGAAGGCGGGAGCAGGGGAGAGTCAGAGAGGCCACTCAGCTGGTGCGCAGTGGAGAGAGGTGAAGAGAGGTGTGAAGTTGAAACCTGCATGTGAATAGAGAAGATTACATAAAAAACAAATCTGTCATTGAGAGAAAAGGGAAGGTGTGAACCAAGTTTCAGGATAATTTTTGTTTCTGATGTCTTTCTGCTGTGGGAGTTAAGAAACCCTTCTTTGAGAGATCAGTGTGATCATGGCCTTCTGAGGTGAAATGAGAAACTATGGGCTTGGAGAAATCCTTAATCTTCACAGCCCTAAAATGTTCTCTGAAGTAGTCTCCTAGTCTCCTTTCAGCTTTTCCCAACCTAGATAGCTGGGCATTTCCTGCGAGAGATTCAGTAAATGAGGCTGCTAGAGCTACAAGAGGTCGCCTGGGTGATCCGGAATTGTCCCGAGGGGCCTTGCTTGAATAAGTGTGGTAGATTCAATTCAATTCAATTCAATTCAATTCAATTCAATTCAATTCAATTCAATTCAATTCAACTTTATTGTCATTATACTTACACAGGTGCATAGTATAATGAAAAGTGTTAATAACATAACATAAATAACATGTAGTCAAGTAATCAGAACTTTGCAAAATTCCACAAACAGAGAAAATATAACAGGACAAAAACAGTGCAAGGTAATTCTTGGAACAGTGCAAAAATACTATGGTTAAAAATAGAATGGTTAATTAATAAATATTACGACCAGTACAGTTTTACTGGGCTATCGAGGGGACAGTACAATTTTGGCTTACATGTGCGTGTAGTTGTGTAGGAGTACAGTCCTTGTGGGTATAGGGAGACGTTAGGAGAGATCATAATATGATGGGAGGGAGTGGGGGCATCACCAACTTGACAGCTCTGGGGAAGAAGCTATTTTGGAGTCTAGATGTGTGCGACTGAAGTGACTGGAACCTTCTGCCAGCTGGTAGGGGAACAAACAAGTTATGACTGGGTGTTATTTTGGTGGCTTTTTTCAGACTCCTGGTGTTGTATATTTCCTGGATGGATGGTAAGGCACTGCCGATGATGTGTTGGGCAGTTTTGACCACCCGCTGTAGTGCCTTACGGTTGGATGCAGTGCAGTTGCTGTACCAGACTGTGATGCAGCTGGTCAGTAGATATGTACTTATGTAGATATGTACTTGCAGGTGATGCAACGAGCTCTGTTGCAGGGAAAAGTACCTGGTGTGGATGATTGTTGAGGGTGGTCAACTGAGCTGTGAACAAGAAGGTTACACAGGTTATGTGGTCGGCGATATGAGATGATGGGGAGGTCAGAAAAGAGGGCCCCAATGGAGGTATTATCCTGTAGGATGGAAAAGTTGTCGTTAATGGTCCTGGGGGTAGAAAGTGTGTTAGGGTGAAAGGGAAGCACCAAAGGAATACGGTTGTTAGGCCGGGGACTCCTGATCGAGTTGATGGTCCGGGGGCTGTTTTTGGCTCGGATGAGTGTCCTGTCAATAACATGGGTGGGGTATCCTCTGTTTATGGAAAAGGGAGTGCATTTGAGTGCTTGGTTCTGGAAATCCAAGTCATCACTACAGAGTTGTCGTAACCAAAGGAACTGTGAAAAATGGAAAGTATTTGGTGTTTGGGGTTAAATGAGCTGTGCAGGAGATAGTTGTGTGAATCCGTGGGTTTGTAATAAACCCAAGTAGAGAGTAGGGGATGGTTAGTGGATAGGTTTATGCCTAGAAACGGAAGAGTAGTGGAAGATATGTTAACTACATGGAAGTGCTCTAACACTCTAACAGAGCATGTGGCAGCACTGATGCAGTCATTGATGCATCGCTGGACAAAGCCAGTGTAGGAAGTGAAGAAGCGTTCTTCTACCTAGCCAATAAAAATATTGGCATGGCTGGATCACATTCTAGTGACCATGGTGACTCCACTCACCTGTTGGTAAAAAAGGTTATCGGATGAGAAGGCATTAAGTGTGAGATACAAGGGTGTGGATGGGTGGATCGAGCACTATGCGTTTATCCAGCGTGTGCTTGAGGGGTATAAGACCGTTATTGTCAGGAAAACAGTGTAGAGAGACGTGATATCCATTGTAAAAATGTAGCATTCTGGACCCTGAAACTGGAAATTGTTAAAAAGTTGGAGGGGGTGGTTAGTGTCCTTGATATATGAAGGGAGCCTTTCAACCAGCTGTCTTATCAGGCAGTCCAGAAGGTGTTGAAACTTGGTTCACACCTTCCCCCTTCACTCAATGACAGACTTGTTTTCGTGTAATCTTCTCTATGCACATGCAGGTTTCGACTTCACACCTCTCCACTTCGCACCACCTGAGTGGCCTCTCTGCCTCTCCACTTCTCCCACCTCCTCCACTCTCCCAACTTTTGTTCTCCTATGCCAGTGGTTCTCAAACTTTTTGGACCAAGGACCACCCCTAATCCAAACAAAGCATCCAAGTACCACCTACAAGTCATCATCTCATAGGAACCCCAGAAATTCTCAATGACCAACATAAGTGTGCGTGCACACACTCACACATACATATAATAAATATTATAATAATAAACTTTGATATAGCGCCTTTAAATGTGGCTTCTCAAAGCGTTTTACAGAAAAAACAACAAATAAAAATAATAAAAAAGCACCATTTCAGTGAGAGGGGTGAGCCTGTTTAGTCGAGCAAAGCAGATGTGAATACATTTTTCGAGCCTTGATACAATTCACAACAGAGTCTAACAGATTTTAAATCGTCAGGCATTTTCTTGATGGCAAAGGTCTCGCGGTGAATGTTGCAATGCGTCCATTAATTTCTGGAACAACCTCTTTAATTCGTGCAACTACACCGCTATGTCGGTTTGTCATCACTCTAGCACCATCTGTACAAACTCCGACACATTTTATCCAGTCGATGCCATTCTCTTAAGCTGAAATATGCGCTCTCCTGTAGTTCTTGTTGGTAGCGGCTTACATAACAGAAAGTCCTCATGGGACGTACCCTCAAACTCGTATCTAACGTTAATGAGTGAATTGGCCAAATTGACTACAGACTCAGCTAATTGCAGTGAAAAACATCTGCTCATCTTAACGCGCTCTATCAGCGTACTTTTGATATAATTTAAATAATTCTATGAATGACCGTGTCTTTCGGGGGGGGCAGCAGGTCGATCTGTTTAGCAGCTTTTTCTCCACACATAATATGTGTCAGCTTTTGCCAACGTAAAATAAGGTTCTTCAAAAATAGTGTGGAGCTTACCTGCTTTAGCAATCCGCAAGCTTGCATTTTTATTTCCATATTTATTTTAAGTTTTTATTTCATGCGCATGGGAGCGAAACGCAGAGACGCTCTGTGTATTTTTCTCAAATTAACTTAGAACAGTTCTTAAATATTTTTCTGTTATGTATCACGCTTTCCTGTGCTCACAAGATTACAAGCATTAGTAGCACGTATTTCTATGCATTCCTGTGTTTACAACATTGGCATTGTTCCAAAGCGAGCACATTCTCCTACCTCCCTATTTGCTCGAGATATTTTTTTTTAAATACAATTGGTCACTTCGTCCGTAGCATGCATTCCTATAGAGTGGTATAGAATTACAGAGTATCTCTTGTGTCCACTGAAGTATTAGCGCGCACTGTATCGCAGTACGTAGGCTGCGTATTCGACATGTATTAAAATAGAAAATATGAAAACCATCCCGATTCTTCAGCGCACACAACAAAGTTCTATGGATCACATGGCGTACCAGCTGGCAGCTACCCACCTGAACTACTAGAAAAGGATCTAGTTGGCTGGCCTCACCCAGGTTGTTGGTGTTTTCTTGTGCATCTCTTCCCTGGTATCATTGCTGATCTTTATTGCTGCACTTCTGTAACTTCTCTGGAGTCTTTTGGCAGAAAATTTGCAAGGGTGTGACCGCTGACAGGAGAGGACGTGATGGAGCGGGGGCTGTTTTGCATTTGATCTGTCTACATTCTGAATATATTTACAAAAACAAGTGCAACTATGCTGTTTTAGGGCAAACAAAATATACTGTACAATGAAAAAGAGGAGTTTAATCTGTCGTGTTCTCGTCACTCTTCTCAAAGTGAGTGTTGTGCTTTCAGGTGCACCGTGATACGTAATCGATAAAAGTCTTACAGGAGTGGATAAAGGAGAGGCAAGAACTAAGGTGAAAATCCTTTTAATTTCTGGACCCTTGCAAGCATTATATATAAGCAAAAAAACTGTGATCTGGTCATGGTTTGCACAGTAAGGCTTTGGTTAATGTTTAGGATGCACAGGAAGGTCTTATCCTTAGTTTTATTTAACATTAAGTTAGTTGATGTCAAATATAATTGCTGTTTAGAACATTTTAAAAGAGCCTTTCTTTTCTAGGTCTCTAACAAAGAACCTTTTCAATCGTCAGTTTGGGAGCATTTTCAGGACCTTTCACAACCCCACCTACTTCTCTCGAAGGCTGTGCCAGTTCTCTGACCTCTACATGTCATCCATCAGCTCCCTGCTCCCTGCACCAGTACACCTTCTACCCCTGTCGCACACCCCTGCAGCACGAAGCTCCCCTGTGGATGGACCAGCTATGTACAGGCTGCGTGAAGACTCCCTTCTTGGAGGAGATGGTGCACATCCGTTGATAGTGACAGCCAGGGAGCATGTTAGGCTGGCAACATTTGGCACCAGTGATACTCTGACCACACTTTCGCTTGTCGTCTCCACTTCTGACTCCTCTTCTGATCACTTCACCACCCTTTCTTCCGTCATGAGGCCTCTGAAACATGTTCCCTGCTAGAAAAGAAATAACCACTTCTCTGGTAAATCACTTTGCTGTGTGTGTCTTTACCTTGTAGTGATAAGTTGAGTTCATCCAGTTTAGTGAACACATCAGCAAGATATGCCAGATGTGCAACCCACTCTGGGTCCTCAGACAGTGTAGCAAGGGGGTGCAGGTGCTCCTTCAGAAAAGCACATACCTCGGTGTGAAGTTCAAACAGTCTCACTAGGGTTGTGCCACAGGATAGCCACCGGCCATCAGTATGAAGCAATAGGTGCTCATGCGCTAATTCAATGTCTTGACACTGAAACAATCTCTAGCCACAAATGACTGCTGATCTAGGATGAAGCTTTTATTTTTGGTGGGTGTTAATGTTGTGGCTAGTATGAGACAGCCCAGCACAGAGAACAGCTGGTGGACCTGTAGTAGCTGCCACTGTGTGGTCGTTGGGAGGACACGGGCTGTGTGAGATAGCAATGTAGGGAAGAGTGCAAGGACAGGAGCTGGCGGGAGGCTTCTTTCTCCTTTTAACATCATCAACACTGTTGAAGAGTTTCCTGGTGTGGATGCACTAACAGTTTTCTGATGTCCTCAGCCCTGGAGGGAGTTGACCTTGACACTGAGCTGTTGGAGTCCTGAGAACAGTGTCTGAGATTGACATCAAGGCAATGTCATCTAGACTACAGAGCTCTGAATGTTGTTACAGGTAGTAAGGTCACTTGAAGCAGAGAAAACATGGTCAAGTTAATACTAGTGTCGCATAGTGTGTAAACCTCTACTTTAGATAATGTCTTCTGAGTTCAATGATTTTATCAATTGGGATAAATAAATAGAGCTTATTTAGTTTTTAGCACTTATTTAGTGCTAAAAGCAGATGGCATTCACCTTTTATATTTAGTTTTTTTTCTTCCTACTCAGAACAAGTTTAATAAGCAGGTGATGTTACCATTGAGTGACCCTTTGTCTGTGGTCTCCTCATATCCTGCTACAGTATAATCATCCCATACATTTTTAGGTCTAACAGGGGTTTACAGTAGCTGCAAAATTAGCTGCTCACAAGGGTGAAGTGTTTATTCTCATGCTTTGAACCACATCAACGATAACAGTTACAGTACTTGTAGGGTTGTGCTGCTTAAAAAGCAAAAAAAGTTCCTTACTGGAATGAGATAAGTAGTAATCTATAATCCTGTTTTTTATCTTAATACTATGTCTAGGTAGAACTACCTTAGCTTGTTAGCCTTGAATTTACATTCATTGTATACAAGCTAAACATTGAAAGTAGAAATTCTTGAATGCTACATACCAAGAGCTTTGATGTGCTCTTACAGATATTAAGCTGCAAACTATGTAGTGAATTCAAAGTTATCTTTAGTGAAAAAAGAAAACTGCCTGATGTTTTTATTCTGCACTTGCATTTGTTTACTGTCTTATTAAAATTATTTATAAGTGTAATCTTAATTTATCTTTGTTTGACAATATATCTTTATATTGATAAAGAAGTTTGCTTTTGAGCAAAGTGCCCTTTAGATATAGCAATAGAGCCTCTGCTCAGAATAACATCCTGTTTTTCTAGAATTAATGTAAATATCACCAAAAACTCACACAAGACTATAGAACAGCTTTTATTAAGTGTTTAGTCACTTACATTTATATGTAGTTTGTACGTTCAGCACTGTTTAGATAAAAGTGCTTTACCAACTAAATCAACTTCTATCACCACTCCTGTGTTAATTAGTGATCTGGTATCTCTTATTTTCCAGCTTATTTCCAGTGATGCCTGATAAACACTGTAGCCAGTGCATTTTATTTTTACTCCAGGAGATCAAGGCTGTTCTCCTCAGGATGTGCACTCCAACAGGAAATTGAGCAGTGAGCTTGTCCTTGATATTCCTCAGGCTAGTCAAGAATATGGTGTGTGTCTGCAACATCCCCTTCTGGTTCCTCCTGGAAAAAAGTGGTTTTGAAAAGCAATATGCTAGTAACGAACCTCACCTCTTTTCTAAGGAGAAAAACATGTTCATTTCCAACACATTATTTTTTCTAAATCATATTTTAGGAAGATATCAGAAAATGTTTTATGCCACTAAACCTGCTAAGATGCATTTGGCGTTAAATTATAAATGACAGAAAAAGTGTTATCACTGAGGCTTGCAAAAAGAGGGTACAGCTTATATTGTTTGCAGTTTGCTTTATAAAGGTGCATGTTTTTGAACTATCAATTAGAGTAATCAGATACAGTAAGTGGCTTTTGTGTTTCCTTTTTTTCTTGGTAAGAAATAAGAATTAAACTTACACCAAAAGGCTCTGCAAATGAGTTGTATCCACTATAGAGGGGGTTGGGAATGGACACCAGTGCTGGATTATCTTCTCTTCCCGTGGACAAGCTGTCATCATCATCCTCATCACTCTGATTGTTGCAAAGTTCAGGGTTAATATTTGTCAGCGAGGACCCACAACTAAACACACATTCAGGGTTAGAGTTCCAGTCAGTTTAAACCAGTTAGTTAAAGAATTATTTATTGGACTCTAAATTCAGTATATACTGTATTCTAAAAGAAGGCATCCGTCAAAGCAGATATTTGAATATACTGTGCAGTTAAATTAGCAGCTCTCTTAACACATTAAAAGCAAGTCTTTGACAGATTTTCAGTTTAATAGTAGAAGAACTGATCTATCAAAATCAGTTTGGTGGTTTAGAAGATGTTAATTGCAAACCTTGAAATAGTGAAACTGGAATCCCTCGTTCTTGTGTTTAAAGTAATAGTACAGAAGACCTCCAACAATTACAGTGAAAAGGACCACACCCAGAACAGCGGCCACAGCGGGACCAGGAGACTTGGACTGAGTCTGAGGGTCTTCTGTGTTGGCCAGAGGCTGTAAAAACAATTACATGTTCTTTACTGTGATGGTCAGGAGTTGATTTGATATGGATGGTTCATTGTTGTGTTTAGGTCCCATAAGATTATGTAACATTTATGCTCCCCATGCCTCATAAAATGAGCTTAAGAATATACAGTATATTTATATTGGACTACCTCCTCTGGCCGTTTTCCACCAGTTGATTATTTCATTAACCAATGCACTAATCAAGCTCCCAAGGCACTCTCTATACCCAGTAAACATAGGTCTAACCTCACCCAAGGAGAAAATCAGGCGCTCCAGTCTCTCCGCAACAGGGATGATATCGTCATCAAACCAATGGACAAAGGAGGTGCTGTTGTGGTGTGGCGTAAGGATCTATTTATCTTTGAAGCCTCTAGACAACTAACTGACACTTCTGCCTACCTCCCTCTCCAACAGGACCCTACCACTGACTACCAAAAGGAAGTGGTATCCACCATTTCTCTTCCTATCAGCAGTAATGAGCTCCCCCAGGAGGCAAACCGGCTCATCATGGAACACCCACAGGTATCTCAATTTTACCTCCTCCCCAAAATCCACAAACCGGACACCCCTGGACGCCCCATCGTATCAGCATGTAACTGTCCAAGTACTTACAGCTTCATGAGACCGCTGGTTGAAGATCTTCCCTCATGCATCAAAGACACCAACCACGCGCTCCAACTTTTTAATGATTTCCAATTTCAGGGTACCGAATGCTACATTTTTACCATGGACATCACATCTTTGTTCCCCATAATGACGGCCTTACAGCCCTCAAGCACATGCTGGACAAACGCACAGTGCTTGATCCACCCACCCACACCCTGGTACGCCTTGCAGAATTGGTCCTCACACTGAACGCATTCTCTTTCAATAATATTTTTTACCAACAGGTCAGTGGAGTTGCCATGGGCACCAGAATGGGACCCAGCTATGCCAA